TGCCCTCCCGCAGGGACCGTGGACAAGCACTCGGTGGAGGTCACCAACTGCTTCTCCGTCCCTCACAACGAGTCCGAGGATGAGGTACGGAGCGCGGGACCGCCCGCCGGCTCCCGGAGGCGACCGCACGGGCGGCGCTGGGGGGTCTCTCGGTGGGGCGGTGACTGCCGAGGGTGCGCTCCCTCTGATGGCAGCGCTGGGGTTTGTGCCCGTGTTGTCCTCCGCTGAGGGTTCAGCATCTCTGTAAGCAGCTGATTTGGTCCTGTCCCATTTCTCAGGTGGCAGTCGATATGGAGTTTGCCAAAAACATGTACGAGCTGCACAAGAAGGTGTCTCCTAGCGAGATCATCTTGGGCTGGTAAGTTCTCCTTCCACAAGAACATGCAAGCAGTTGTGTTGGTCCCTTAGACTACTTGAAATACATAATTTTCCATGTCACAGGTTGAGAAGCAGAAGCACTAATGCTTGTAACAGTAAGGTCTTGCAACTCTTGTTACAGAGTCAGTTGTAAAGCCACTGCAGTTCATTAATAGGAAGGTATAGGAGAGTTACAAGGTTTGTTTTTGTTTATATCTAGAAAAGGTATCACAGAGGAGTGATGGGTTAGAGAATACTTGTACAGATTTGTTAGAAGAACTTAGCCACTGTAATACAACTTGCACCATGGCAGAAAACTGGTTAGAAAGAAGGAAGAACACAAAAGAGTAGTTTAACATACTGAAGGCCTCACGAGGAATCAGTGATATCAGCTTTGGCATGCAGAAGTTCTCTGCTGAGCGAAAGTGGAAGAGGAATGCGAAGCAAGATCAGGAGGGTGTTTTGGAAACAGAGTCTGTGTCTTGAGTGTGGATAGATAGCTGTATTGGTCTTTTCCTGCTTCTCTTATCCTCCAAAATAGCTTAATTCTGTTCCCATGGAGCAGACTTCCTCAACAAGCTTCTAATGGCATAGCAAAGTGCAATTCTAATGACAGGAATTTTACTGTGTATGTGAGAAGCTAATTGCAGAGCAGCTAAAGGAACTAGATTAACAAGTTCTACCTCCTGCACACAGATGTTTGATTTGTGGAAAATCTACTTGGTCCAAATTTATTTGGCATGCTTTGTCTTACACAAAAATAAAGGTCAAGAGCATAGTGACAGATAACTGAATCCTGTCTTTGCAACCGTACCAACTCTTTATGGCAGGTACCACAACATTGGCCCAGTGCATGTTTCAGGTATGTGTGCGCTCAGCCTGTGGTTCCTACAATTGTAGGACAGATGGCCATAAAACTACAAATTCACTCGTTAAAATGCTTGTATTTAGTATGCTTCCGCAGCTAAATGTTTGGAAATCAGTGGTTTAGGATACAAACCTGTTAAATACCAACAATACCCAATACTGGGCACTTGAAAGTTGGAAGAATGTCTCCTCAACATGTGCTCTTTTGAAGGTATGCAACAGGTCATGACATCACGGAACACTCTGTCCTGATCCACGAGTATTACAGCCGGGAAGCACACAATCCAATCCACCTCACTGTGGACACAAGTCTCCAGAATTCACGCATGAGCATTAAAGCCTATGTCAGGTACTCTGGGATGCTGCATTTCTGGGAGGGGAGCTATCTGAATTACTGGGAGGGACCACACCAGGTTAACAAATGCAGCAAGCTGCAGTGTCGCATTTTGGACAGTATCGTGCAGTAGCTAAAACACAGCAGTGAGCCAGGGATCATGGCTTATTTCCCATTTGAATGTCTCGACCATTGTATGTAAGTTAAAAGATCTAACCTTTCATAAGCTGGTACTTCATTGGAGTGAGGAATTGTGACTTCACTAACTTTAACAGCGTTCTGAACATCTTTGTGATGTTTCATGAAGATGTTCATAAGGATTCATATGGCTAGCACTGATGTCACTGACTTTCATCACCCTGTGTGAATGCTAGCCTGTAGTCACTGGGATATATTACTTAGCAATTTATTTATACACATTGGAGGATTAGTGCAGTTAAAACATAATTGAAACAGCATCTTCTTGATCAGTTTTTCTTCCCCTTAACCCTTTTCATTTTTATTAATTAATAATGGAGCTTAAATAATGAGAAATGAAACTATCCCACCTCACTGTTCTTCCCAGTACTGGCTGAAGAGCTCTCCTCTTTCAGCATAAAACCCCAGCCTTTCTTTGTAGCAGAAGTCTACTGCTTCTTGACTCATCTTCAAAAAGGAAGCTGTTCTATGACATCTTACTTAAAGCATAAGTGAACTTCAAATACCTTGAATAATAGGAGTAATAAAAGTGTTGAGAGTGCTTTGTGCTCGAACTTTTGTCATATTTCTTCCTTAAGTGATGTCTCAAAGAGCATAGAGTATTTCAGGATAGAATACCTGCTTTATGAGCAAGAAGGACCCGTGGCTTAAGAAGAGAGTATTTAGCTCTCTATGCATGTCAGACCAGCTAGGAATATTCTTGGGATGAAAATAAACAATTACTAGTATGCCAGGACCGATTTCCTGTCCTCAGTTATCCATAGTGTTAGTATTGCTGATTTTGGTGAGAATGGGTAACCTGCTCATATTCGCACTTAAGTGCTAACAGAGATCATTGAGATGGAAATCTATTACTTCCTGCCTTAAATATGTCCATGCTGAAAATGTTTTGTTCTTTTTCTTTCTAGTGCCCCAATGGGAGTCCCTGGTAAAACTATGGGTGTGATGTTCACACCTCTAACAGTGAAATATGTTTATTATGATACAGAACGGATAGGAGGTGAATGTTTTCTTCCTCTTTTGGTTATAACTATTGTTGTGACACTGTTTAAATGCCTTTTTTTTTTTTTCCTGGTAAAATTGCCATCCTTCTGGAAATTTTACTGTCTTGCTGAAGCTGTAGTAAAAATTTTCAAAAAGTAAAGTATTTAAGATGGTTTCTGTGGCAGTCAGGTTTTTTTTCACTGATCCTCCTTTTGCTTTCAGTGGATCTTATAATGAAGACTTGTTTTAGCCCTAATCGAGTGATTGGCTTGTCCAGTGACTTACAGCAGGTGGGGTCAGCATCAGCCAGGATTCTGGATACCTTGACCACAGTGCTCCAGTATGCAGAGGATGTATTGGTAAGGCCAGCTTTTTATGAGTCAGCAGATAATTTGATGTAAGCTTGTACGTCTTGTTTTTCTTTTTATATATTCGCTTTCTGGACCATAAATTTACTGAGTTTTACTCACATTGAAGTTTGATGTTTCTTATACTTAGTCTGGCAAAGTGGCTGCTGACAATACTGTTGGGCGATTCCTGATGGATCTTATTAACCAGGTGCCAAAGATTTCACCAGAGGACTTTGAGACAATGTTGAACAGCAATATCAATGTAAGTTCATAATCTTATTTTTTTTCAGCGTATTTCCAGCAATTTTGAAAATTTGTCATACAGACACAAGTTTGTCTGATCAAAGCAATAGCTTTTCATACAAACATGTTAATAGAAAATACAGCCACTTCCGTATTCAATTCTTGTCAGTAATTTGATGTTTTAAGAGATGAAGGTGGATAAAGGAGCTCACCATAATAATCTTGCGAGCAACTGCACTTAGGAATTATGCAAGTAATATGAAAGCCAGCACCAATTCTTCTTTTAGAATGACTGGACAATATGAATTACGAAGTTTAAAGCAGTATGGAATTTAAGGGATGACTTGCCAGCTTCCTTTGCCTGAGCTGAAGGTCTCTCTCCCTGTGTAATACTTAGGACATGAACAAGGTTTTAAGATGCTGCTGCCTTATTTCTGTAACAGATTTTTAGAAAGGGAAAGCTTAAGTTTCTGAATGTGGTGTTCACCCACAGTCTGCAAGACTGGAACTAATTTTTAATTTTGCTTATACCCTTTGAGACTTGCCTGGTTAACATGGGTGAACTCAGGGTTAAAATTTCACAAGCAGTGTTTCATATTCTTGGAATACCAAAACCTTCCTCCTGCAAGGAAAGCATTCCTCAGGGTAGGACTTTTAGGACTAAAATATTTCTTGTAGCTGATTGTAAACTGCTTTAGAGGTGTTAAAAATTATACTCCTTAACAGGCTACCATCTTTGTTAATATTTCTGATCACCCTTTTTTTTTTCTTCCCCTCTCAGGACCTACTGATGGTAACCTACTTGGCAAACCTCACACAGTCACAGATTGCTCTCAATGAAAAACTTCTGAGTTTGTAGAGAAACTTCTGCCACCCTACACTTCAAAAGGCCTGAAGAATGAGCAGATACACTTTTCTATGGTGTTGTTACAAATTTTTTTGGACTGTAATTCCATTACCTAGATGACTTGGTTTACATCTCTATTTCCGTTGTCCCAAAAAATCCCTAACATGGTTCAGGAAATGAATGGGAATGGCTGCAGTTTAACTGAGACCAGTATTTTAAAATGGAATATTAGAATCTTTTGTCTCCTGGGTTCATCTACTTGTATAACAAAATGCAGCTTTGTTGTAAGAATGTATTTGAAATAAAAGTTCCATTGCAATGGTAATTATGGATTCTGTCCAGAAAAAAAAGTTCTCATTTATTGTATAAGGAATCCCTTTTTGAAAGAATGGGGGATAACATTGCATCAGGAATGAAAACCAGAGTGGATGTAAGTCAGCTCCAATTCTGCAGACTTCTTTGCAGTTTGGTTTGGTTTTTTTTTGCCAGCTGTTAAAGCACACTGAAAGCTTGGCTTCTTGTGTTGCACATAATGTGATTTTCCATGGAGGACTACAGAATGGGTGAGGGTTCAGAGAATTAAACTAGCACTGAGTTCATGGTTAAAAGGGCCTGAGAAAGCATTTGTGGCTGAACAAGTGTGGCTACTGGAGCTACCATCTTAGCAAAAGAAAAAAAGCACAACAGAACTACGCTTCATGAAGTTTTGAGGTTAAATTTAGGGTGCCATCAAATAGGAATTTTCTATTTCATGACCCCTGTACTGCTGCTAAAATTGTGTGAGAAGAAACTTCCCATTTTCTCTCCCAAAGCTAGTTCACATTAAATGAGTTCTAGCTGAAAGAATGACAATAGCAATCTGAGCTGTAACTTTTTACAGTCTTGGCTAATAACATTACCTTTAGAAGTCAGTTCAGGTTTACTGAGGAGGTTTTGCCTAATAGAGTAAAAGTGTTCCTCTTCTACAACACAGCTATTCCCACCTAATTACTAATGACTCTTTCTGATGCCTCACATCCGTTCTGGTAAATGAGTTTGAAATGTTAAGAGAAGCCTGCAAAGCCAGTGGTCCCCAAAATAATTTTTGTGCTAATTTGACAGATAAATACAGGAATGCGACTTGGGTTACAAATCTGTAGATCCTGTACTGGTTGTTCCAATCTGAAGAATTGCCTCAGTGACTCAAATGCTAAATTCTAGGTACATGAAAACGGATGGTATGGCAAAGAGTCTAATCTCTGAAAATGCTATTAGTGAGCATTAAATAGTGTTAAAACTTGGCTCTTGTTTTTTATTAATCTGAATAAAAATGGTTTTGTTTTCCCTTATTTAAATTGAATATTCATAACCAACTGTTTAACTATTTCACAACTTTTCAGGTCAAGATGTTTTTTAAGGTAAGCCTTAAAATAGGTGGAAGAAAAGAGCAAGCAGCAAAGCTGGGTAAGTCTCTCAATTACTGCCAAAAAGTGCAGGGGGGGAAAGCATAATCTTTCCCCGATTTCTCTTCTGCAGTAAACTCTTGCATTCACTGTCTATGCTTTGATCTCTTAGCTGCTCACTTTAAACTTAATTTCAGTCTTTCTTGAACTTGAGCTGGTAAAGACCCATACCCATATCAGCATATAGATCAATGAATACAGGACTGCATTAATACTTTCCTGTTATAAATCCCTTGTTTTCCTCTTGGTGTCCATCATGTAGTGTGATTGAGCATCCCAGTTTCTTGCCCCTGCTATCATTGGCAGCTGAACTCCAATTTGCCAGTAGAATTATTAATTTAAATACATGACTTAGTGTTATGACACTTTTTAATTTAAAAAAACCCCAAAACTAGATCCATATATTTCTCCTGATTTGGATTATTCTCAGTCTTGATAATAGCTCACAGTTTTGTCAAGAGGTATCATAAGCTAATTCCCAACTTTTGTGCCCTACTCATTAAGAAAAAACTTGGAATTGATCCCTGACCAACTTCACAGAAATCTACAAATTCCCTCTTCTACACAGCCTTTGTTCATTCTTACAAATTCTTTATCCTTGCTCATGCTAATTCCTGTCTTCTGTAGCTTAACTAATTGCATGTTCATGTCAAGCCTTCTGTGGACATTCAGGTGGTTTATAGTGAATTCCTCATTTAGAATGTGTGTGAAACTGACCCAGTATGTCTAGTGATTGATCTTTGATAAACCATGTGTTTGGTTGTAAGCTTTGGAAAGTGGAGATAAGACTAATTGTTGAGAGTAACAAACTTTTTATTTTTGCTATCTGCAATTTCATACTTTAAAAAATCCTTGCTGACAGAATTACAATTTCATTTGCTAGACTCTTTCGGTATACTGGGATGAAGGTCACAAAGTTTGCCTTGATAGTTGAGTCATTTAAGTTTCTTGGCAGAATACTTGCCTGCTGCAAAGAGGAAGTAGTGTTTTGGTGTGTGACTTTGTGAACCTATGCCATCTATTAGTAACTAATGTGAAATGCATGGTTTTAATCCTAAGGATTAAAAAATTGATGGTAGACGACATTGGACATGTTGCTCTTTCGAGTAGTCTAGCAGAACAACCTGCTGTTCCTCTTTTGTGCTTTGAGGAAGGGTGGAGCTTCTATTTTTAGTGTGGTTCCACACAACAGAACTGGAGACTCTGGGGGTGACTCCATTGTAAGGTTTGTGTGAAATCTTGTTAGGACTACAGCGGGTGGAGCCCTAACGTGACTCACTGGGTAGTGACTCACTAGGCAGTGACTCTCACAGTTGAGCAGCTAACCAAACACATGGCTCCTCCCAAAGTGAACTGAACTTGCTCTGCTCCGTGTTCACATGGAAAGTTAAGAGCTAACATTAAATATCTGCATTTTAATTACTGCAGTCACAAGGCAGCATAACAGGAAAAGTATTTTTAGTACAAAATTTAGACTTGGATCACTGCAGTGGTTTGTTACACTTTGACCTATGGTTCAAAGCCAACCAGATCTTGTTGCTTACGGCAAACTGTGGGAAGTTTGGGGTTTTTTTAATTATTCAACTGTATTGGCTGAAATATAACATCAAAAGTAATGATTCATATTATTTAAGTGGCAAATAATGTTCCAACCAGGATAAGAGAAGCAGAGAATTGCACAGGGAAGCAGCAATGCTTTAGTAACCTATGCCACCAACAATAAATTACACTGGAAAAAATGTTTTGTTTTGGCTCTATTGGTAGCACTCAATTAGCACAACTATGTAGCTGACACCAAAGTTCCTTCAGATCAGAATTCTGTCCAGGGTCGTGTTTATGCAGAAGATGCAAGGATATTACAAAAGAGAGGAGCAAGAGTTTGTCTCCCAAATTCACTAAGAAGTTGAATTTTCTAATAGTAATAGTTGACTCTGAGTGGGTTTTAGCTTTCCTAAATGTACTGGCTCTAGCTATAATAACAAGCCAAGGGATTTCCTTAAATATAGGGAGTTAAATTAGATGACCACAGTGGTTCCATTCCATGCTTTACAAAAGTCATTCCAGATATTCTTGTTAACATACAAGCATGCAACTCATTTAACATAAGATTCTTCAGACTTATACAATTTTATTTGTTTTCTCTTGTTCTTTTCGCACTTGATTATGAAAACAGATTGTTCCTTTCCTGAATAGCTCAAATCCAAACAGTCCACTAAATGGAAGAAATAAAGAATTGCATATTTTATAAATGTACTCAGTTCCCATGGAAACAGGGATTTAAGTATATCTGTCCTGGAAGAAATGTGCTTAACTGAGGTGAAATAGAGTAGACATACACTGGGAGTGTCAGCTGAAGAATGCTGTGAGGATTAAATTCTTAAAGCTGCTCCTGATGTGATCTGGGCAAACAAAAGGGAACAAGCCCAATTTTGCTGAAGATAGGTAATTTATTAGACTCTTCTTGTCGCTTTGGGTGCTTTTCATTTGAAGTGGGCAAGCATGGCAAATTATTACCCACCTATTTTCTGCTGCCTGCACATAATGCTATTTTACAGACAAACAGGGCAGTGGCTGTTGTTTCATCTAGAGCTCAAGTGCTGCATCAGGTTACAGGAAGAAATTGTTTGCATTTTAGTGGTTTCTGAACAGTTAACATGTTTCTAATTTAAAAAAAAAAAAACAAAAAAAACTAGGAAGATATTTTGAATTATCTCAAGTAACCAGTGCATAATATCATTGGTGAATCCTTCATGAATTGTATCTTGCCGGTCAGAATCTCATGAATAATCAACCACCAGGTAAAGGAAGGACTATGTGTATGTAGTGTCTGTTCTAAAGTGTAATAGGAATAAAAATTACAATAGAAAGAAATGAAACACTAAGTACACTTCCTACAATTGCATACAAATGACTATAATTAAGATTTCTTTCTGGACAAAGGTATGTAGCTGTCAGGACGACCTCACCCTTATACCCTCTAGGGACCTAGATTCTCATCTTGAGTAACTACAGAAAAAGGAGAAACTCCTCCAGCTCCACTGATGTCTTTTGTGTACTTTGCCTGTTAAACACTGTTCTGGTGGCCTAGATGATTTGGCTGCCTGCCAGCTACCAAATGAGGATCTTGATCTGAAGGCTTGTGTGTTACTGGATAACAAACTGGATTTAGCGCTACCTGCATTAGGGCTGAACTCCATTGCAGAGGTGCCACAGGGAAACTGCCGTGGGGAGTTCTCCCTTCCTTTCCTCGGCGGGTGGATAAGGACCCCCGGGGGGTGGCATCGCCCGACACTTCCTGTGTTGAATGCTTCCCCTGCCGCAGCTCCTGGGGCAATCGTTCTGCGTTTCTGGGGCACTTGTGTCTTTGAACTTACCTCTCAGCCCTTTTGAAAGAGAACTGGGCATACTGCAGCGGTCCCTCCGCAAAATGGGGCAAAGCTGCACAGACAGGAAA